TTCTTGGCTCTTTCCATGCTATGAACGAGCTATATAGATTTCAATCCTGTCATTCCCTGTATATTGTTGTTTAATATTAATCTATCGTGTGTCGTGCAGGCTCTTGACAACTTAAGCTGAACATTTGCATCTTCTTGCAGATTTATCTGTATATTACCGTGAAATTATAATAAATGTATACCTCATAATGCCGGCATATGCACCATTGATCAATGCGTAGTGTTTTCAAAAACGCTATTAATATTATAATAATAATAATAATAATAATAATAATAACGACGTAGTATTGTGCAGAAACGGAAACGCTGTAAAGGCGTCTGCGATCGTCAACTTGCTGTCGTGTTCTCTCATATAAACAGGCGAAGCGCTTTATGGCTCAAGGGAACAGCTTTTATAGTGCAACTCCCAAGGTTGAACTCTCCCGCGCTCGTTTGCTTTAATTTGTTAAATTTGGGCCCAAACGCCCGATGCGGCTGAGTGGACTTTAATATCGTAACAAATCAACGTAACAAGGCTCAAAACACATGAATGTTTTACATCTTTCGCCTTAATCACGTGGCGGAAATGAACACTGCCAGTTCGTAATGTAGAGTAGTGTGTTTTGTTAGAGAAAGTGGAGGACAATTCATTATCTCTCCATTTTATTTTATATAAACAACTGCAAAAGCTCCTGGTGTTTTAAAATAAACAATACTGAAGGAACGAAGTTCCTCGTTTATTGTGACAGGCTTATGAATATGCATTCGGGCTGACTAAAAATTGTTAACCCGTTGAGTCTGTAAATAATGTGGTTACTTCATATTTAGTATAGCGGTCTTTTATAAAAGTATGTTTTACTCCATTTTTAGTCTTTCCATCAAGCACTTTGCAAGAGAAAATGCAGTATTATTCTTACTTATTATTAACTTCTGAAAGGAAATGCAAATACATATTTTATTATTTACGACTAAATCGCGTGACGTTATAGTTTAGTTCAGTCATTGTGCTCTGTAGGGTCCACCGCAAAATGGAGAAAATTTAAAAAATAGACACGCAACTTATATTAAAGATTTTAGACCCAAGATCTCAGGTAGTTCTGCAATTTCAATATTCAATACACGTTTTAGTCTTGTCATATCTGGGATGTTGCGCCGTGTAGACTAGTAGTAATTTACAGACATTTCAGATGTGCCTACTGCGTCCATCATCACGGTGATTAAGACAATCATTTCTTGATGATAGAGACAGCACCTCTGAAACGTCGGTAAATTTCACCAGATTCCGCTGTCTAACATCTCAGAAAACACGCCTGTTTTCGTTTTCTTCGTCCTTTGATGATGCACTGTTGCACCAGATTTGTGCTTAAGACCAGTGAAAAGGCATTGACTTCTGTGTTTTTCTGCCCTCACTTAACCGATCTGTAGCTTGGAACGGCTGATTTTTATGTTTTACGAGGGCTTATACACCGGAGTACGACGTCACATAAAGGCAAGGCCGGTATGAAGAGAAGCGCGGACTGCGATAGAACTCGACAGACGCAGGGAAAGGTTTGGTCCAAGGTAAGACGAAGTTGATTAGTGCCGTCATTATAAGAGCGGAATATGAATCTTAATATTTCTTCACTTATGGAGCCGAAGGAATCTTTGAGGCAAAGATTAATCACTTGCATTGCAAAAGGGAAGTTTGAAGCACTTATAATGATAGTAGGCTATCCATCAGAAGGACAATGGGGCCTTTAGTGTGGGTAAAACTTGAATTAAAATAAAGGGGTGCATTTAAAAGAGGAGGAAATCACGTTAAATATCTTTGTTTAAATATGAGTTCTGTAATAATTGGAAACATCCTTGGGGTTTACTTTATCATGAGGAGCTTCGTAATTTATAATCCTCGCTGATATTAAGAGTTGTTAAATCAAGGAGGATATAGTGGGCGGAAGATGTCATGGAAGAACTGAGACACATACAAAGTTCTAGTAAGAAGACCTGGGGAGAAGAGACCACATAAGTACCTAGTTTCACATGTGAGGATAATATTAAAATTGATATTATATAGGGTGAGACGATGTAACCTGGATTCAACTATAAATAGACAGGGCTCAGTGGTGGGCTTTTGCGAATATTTTGATGAGTCTTTGGGTTTTGTGAGGGGTGGAAAATGTTTTACCAGTCAGGAAACTGAAATATACTTAATATCACACCATCGATCAAGCTGAATGGAGCAGGGATCAGATGTCGTTCTTTCATGAACACGTGTTGAAACTTCAGATTCTGTAGAAAACTATGTATTTCTGGACCAGGCGAGGAACTATTTCCTGAAAATGGCCTCTCGCCATTTGGTTTCATTCATTTCTAGCCAAATTATGTCGAGGGTCATTAAAGTCGAGGTGCGCGTTGGAAACTGTTGAACAGGTTGCCTACCTGTAAGAACCCATTTAAGCTCCTCTTATTATCACTGAAATTAGGTTTAACCGGTTTAAGTAGTACTTGCGGTATTATGACCTTGAGATTACGTAGTGAGCGTTGTCGAAGTTCTCTCTTCCGTCCCATCTAATGCTCTTATGTACGCAATATATCCTTACAGTTCAAAGCTTCAGAAACAATAGGCAAGGATAGGACAAATGAATAGTTAGCAGACTATTAAAATGAAATATGTAAGGAAACGTGTATAAGGTTTTTTGAGACGTGTTCTTTCATACAAGAAACGGACACCGTTTCGCAGTTTTCTTGTACGATATATCCAGCACTGTGAAGGGAATATGGTAATATGACAAGCGCCATCTTACCTCTTCGATTCTACGTTATTAATGTTGCACAGTTGTGGTGCGATACTTACGCCCATAAACACTGCACGTTCTCTTTGGTAGCACTGAGAGTGTTGATTGTGTTAGAACGTCACGTCGTCAACCAAGTTTAAAGTAAGTATAAACAGCAAGACATTGCCAACGTGGATATGGCGAAAGTTTATTAGGAGTAACTTGTAATTAGTCTCAAAACTTACCAAAGCATTTACTTGATTCATTAATTAGTTTTACTCTCTAGATAATGAGCCGGGATAGCTCAGTCAGTATAGTGACTAGCTACGGGCTGGACGACCGGGGTTCGATCCCCGACGGGGGCAGAGGATTTTTCCTCTAGCCTCTGCGTCCAGACCGGCTCTGGGGCCCACCCAGCCTCCTCTACAATGGGTGCCGGGGTCCTTTCCCGGGGGTAAAGCCGGCCGGGGCGTGATGCTGACCACTCACCCCCATCTAGTGCCGATGTCAAGGAAGAGAGGAGCTATACCTCCACTCACCCCAAACGCCTACATGGCGTATAGTGGGACAAACTTTACTTTTACTCTCTAGATAACGCGCAGCTTCTAAGATTACGTAATTTGGAAATGAATAGATGGAATGCGTAGAGGATAGCAGAAAATAAAGTAACACGTTTTAAGGAGAGATTCCAGGTACTAAATTCTGCGGGTTTAAAGACGATTTTTTGTGGGATGTTGAACAGTGTAGACTACTATAATTTTACCGACGTTTTAGAGGCGCTTTCCGTTTTCATAGCCATGATGAAAAGCCCAGAAGACAAGCCATCTTCATGCAGCATAGAATGCCAGGAGAACGATTCGGGTTCTACAGCTTGAAATCGAATCTCCCGAATACAGGTCGCCGCGTTGAAGAGAAGCCGTCTGAATTAGGAATGACGGATATGCGGTCACTGCATATTGCTGATTTGAGTACGAGCCCGAGCCCGAGGACCTGCTCATGAGACAAGGGAAGAGCTACATGCCGTCATGCGCGTGTTTACCTGTCGTGCTTAATTAGACCCTGTGGGACTTGTGTCTAGATTTCCATGGAAATAAAGGCGATATGAAGTCGATACGGCTTACATTATCTAACGTTGTAAATCACAAGAATGTAACGACATTCCGCTATTTGGACGTGTGATCGGAACAGACATATCTGAAATCGGTTCCGTTCTTCCACCTCTTGATACATTTTTACGGAATTTAGTATGTGGCACTCATCTCTTTGTTCCTTCGTTGTAGCTAACACCAAATATTCCATTTCGTTTCACCGCATGTCTCTAACAGTATCAAGTATGAACTAACATAAAGTAATGCAGTCACCAATGTTTGTGTAATCTTTCTACGGGGCTATTTAATTACAATCGTCTATTTTTTTAATCCTCTGTAACTTATGAATTAGAGAATGCGTCGTTAAATAAACTAAAATCTAAGGCATGTCTTCTCTTTTGCAGTTTCAGATGTTAGCGACCTTTACATATAAATAAAGAATCCATTTAATACTTTAAGCTCTTTATTTAAACGCCTTGTTTTATTCACAATATTTTGTTTAATATTGAAAACAACCTTAAATATTATTTTCAAAAAAGTTTATAATTTTAAGGATAGTATTTATAAGGATACAAATATTAATAGGTCTAATAAATTATAGCTAATACGAAAAATTTAGTAATTAATTTACTCATGTTTTATTTCAGTAAATACTTTAATGTATTTTCATACATTCTTTATGCAGTATTATTTCATCTTTAATTCCATCAAAAGTTAAAGGATATTACTAATATAATAGAATTTAGCAAATGTTTCGAACAATATAATAATTTAATAACACTTCACTAATTATTTGGTACAAATTTTTCTGTACTTATCTGCTACAGTTTCACAGCTTCTTCATGCAGTATTTAATTTTTACTTACATGTGCAGCCCTTTTCCTATTTTTATCGTAGAAGAACTTGCAGTGTGGTCTGGTTTGAGAAAATCAGACGAGACAGTGACGTAGGCTCGCGTTGCGGCTGCAGCGACAACTACAGCAGTTCCCTCGTCGTAGTCGAGATACGGACTGGCTTGGAAATGAGCTCCTGCTCCGGCTCCAGGTCCAGAGTCGCAGCTTCCCCCTCCCATCCCACCCCCTCGCAGCATCCCGTCACTCCACTCTGCATTCACCCCAGCGTTCTGTTCACCTCTCCTAGCTTTTTCATTCCTTTCTGCCCAAACTGTCCCTCTAGCCTCATTCCTCCACGACTGACCTTCATTCTTTGTAAATCCCATCCCGTCGCTACCGCCATTTCATCTTCAAATGCCTCTCACATCTCCAAGCAATTTATTATCTTCTAAGGTCGGGGCCAGAGAATTTACAACGTACCACAGAAATACCTATTATTCTGCTTCCTCTACGATTCCGTAATAGCAGTAGTAATAAAATCGCTCTATCAAAATTACTTTCTTCTTTCAAAAATATTGTCAGAAATGACGGAATGTTAAGTCTGTACTTATACTTCTTGACAAACTCCACGGAGAAGAGCTCATAAGCTGATAGTCACTCACACGGTCAATTTATCTCAATCTTTTTATGGAAGTCGGAAGATTTGTTATCGTGTACACAAGAGCTTGCCAGTGGATTCTGTCACGAACCATTTGAAACCATCCTTCACCCCATTTCTTTAATATTAATTCATATATCCTCCCATCTATTGCGTACCTATCAGCTAAATCACTGCAATTTCAAGCAGTAGGCTGATACTAGTAGAACGCCGCGATGGTGCGGCAACTTCACCATCTCCTCTGTTATGCGTGTAGGCTAAACACAGTGTCTCAGGCGGTTCATGCATCTAACTCGCTTGAATGTATTTCGACGTTTCCTGAGTTGTTAGGCATGAAAAGTAGATTTATCAGAGCATTGTTATTTAAATCTACCTTAAGTACCACGTCTGTATGTTCCCATCTGTTTGAGCGCGGATTTAATACAATAAATAGAGCTGGAGCGTATGGAAATAAATCCGCTGGCATTTTTGCAGACAATCATGAACGTTCGAATGCCATAAAAGAAGAGAATTTCTTGATCAGATTGACAACTATTGCTATAAAAGTTTCTAACGATGGTATGTTACGTTCATTATCGTTTTTCTTCTTGAACAGATCCATTGTTCTGTATATTTAAATGAAGCCACGACGTTTCAAGGGCTGACTGGCTCTGTTCCCTGTCTTCAGGTGATAAGAACATCACTATCTCGAGTCATTAGAAGATTGGGATTAGCCTTTCTGTTGGACCCAACAGAGTAGCTTTTCTTATCATATGAATAAGGTTGGGGGTGGGGGGGGTTATCAGCTCTTGAAAC